TTTTTCTGGTGGGTGGGTAGGCCTGATTTTTTTTTATAGGTCAGAATTGTTGTTTGCAGATGTGTGATGACCTTTTGTAAAGCATGTGATTACCATCCTGCAGTTACCGGACGGTGTATCGAGCCTACAGCACACCTTGTACTGACCCACATGGGTTTACCGCTTCATGAAGAACATTGGAAATACACGTATAATGACAATGTCAACGAATGACCACACTACAATGATAATATGACAATGTCAACATGACAATAACGACATGACAATGACAACACGGCATTGACAACGTGACAATAACAACATGTCAATAACAACATGACAATGACAACATGACCTTGACAACATGACAATAACAACATGACATTGGCAACATAAAAATAACAACATGACATTGGCAACATGACAATAACAACATGACATTGACAACATGACAATAACAACATGACATTGACAACATGACAATAACAACATGACAATAACAACATGACATTGGCAACATGACAATAACAACATGACATTGACAACATGACAACAACAACATGACAATAACAACATGACAATAACAACATGACAATGACAACATGACCTTGACAACATGACAATAACAACATGACATTGGCAACATGACAATAACAACATGACATTGACAACACGACAATAACAACATGACAATAACAACATGACAATAACAACATGACAATAACAACATGACAATAACAACATGACCTTGACAACATGACCTTGACAACATGACAATAACAACATGACCTTGACAACGTGACCTTGACAACATGACAATAACAACATGACCTTGACAACATGACCCTTGACAACATGACAATAACAACATGACCTTGACAACGTGACCTTGACAACATGACAATAACAACATGACAATAACAACATGACCTTGACAACATGACCTTGACAACATGACCTTGACAACATGACAATAACAACATGACAATAACAACATGACAATAACAACATGACAATAACAACATGACCTTGACAACATGACCTTGACAACATGACAATAACAACATGACAATAACAACATGACAATAACAACATGACAATAACAACATGACCTTGACAACATGACCTTGACAACATGACAATAACAACATGACATTGGTAACATGACAATAACAACATGACAATAACAACATGACATTGGTAACATGACAATAACAACATGACAATAACAACATGACCTTGACAACATGACAATGACGACATGACAATGACAACATGACAATGACAACATGACAATGACAACATGACAATGACAACATGACAATAACAACATGACAATAACAACATGACCTTGACAACATGATAATAACAACATCACAATAACAACATGACAATGACAACATGACAATAACAACATGACAATAACAACATGACCTTGACAACTGATAATAACAACAAACACAATAACAACATGACAATGATAACGTGACAATAACAACATGACATTGACCACATGACAATGACGACATGACAATGACAACATGACAATGACAACATGACAATGACAACATGACAATGACAACATGATAATAACAACATGACAATGACAACATGACAATAACAACATGACAATAACATGACAATGACATGACAATAACAACTTGACAATAACAACATGACATTGACAACATGACAATAACAACATCACAATAACAACATGACATTGACAACATGACAATAACAACATCACAATAACAACATGACAATGACAACATAGCAATAACAACATCACAATAACATGACAATAACAACATGACAATAACAACATGACAATAACAACATGACAATAACAACATCACAATAACATGACAATAACAACATGACATTGACAACATGACAATAACAACATCACAATAACAACATGACATTGACAACATGACAATAACCCAACACACAATAAACAACATGACAATGACAACATAGCAATAACAACATCACAATAACATGACAATAACAACATGACAATAACAACGTGACAATGACAACATAACAATCATAACGTAACAATATTAACATAACAAGGACAACATAATGTAGTTACTGGCCGCATAGCAACAAAGGGTAGTTACTGGCCACATAACAACATAGGGTAGTTGCTGACCACATAACAATGACAACATAGTGTAGTTACTGACCACATAACAACATAGTGTAGTTACTGACCACATAACAATGACAACATAGTGTAGTTACTGACCACATAACAATGACAACATAGTGTAGTTACTGACCACATAACAATGACAACATAGTGTAGTTACTGACCACATAACAACATAGTGTAGTTACTGACCACATAACATAGTGTAGTTACTGACCACATAACATAGTGTAGTTACTGACCACATAACAACATAGTGTAGTTACTGACCACACAACATAGTGTAGTTACTGACCACATAACAACATAGTGTAGTTACTGACCACATAACAACATAGTGTAGTTACTGACCACACAACA